TTTTCTCTGATCCATAGTGACGTCTGGGGTCCTTCTCGTGAAAAAAATATTTCTGGGGCCCAATGGTTCGTGTCCTTTATTGATGATCACACACGGGTGACATGGATCTATCTTATGCGTGACAAATCTGAGGTAGGACCAATATTTCGTGCATTCTATCAAATAATACTCAATTTGACACAAAAATCCAGACTCTTAAAACAGATAATGCACGAGATTTTTTCAACACCTCCCTAGGAACTTTTCTTACTCAACATGGCATCCTTCACCTTGGCACGTATGTTGATACTCCCCAACAAAATGGGGTTGCAGATCGAAAAAATCGTCACTTGTTGGAGGTAGCCCGCTGTCTCATGTTTGTCACATCGGTCCCTAAATGTTATTGGGGCGAGGCAACATTAACCGCTGCCTATCTCATAAGTCGGATGTCCTCTCGTATTCTGTGTTTTCGTAGTTCAATTGATGTCCTCCTTCGCTCATTTCCAAATACCTGTACACTCTCTTTAGTTGTCCCTACCAAACGATTTGGTTGCTCCGTCTTTGTTCATATTCACAAACAACACCGCAGTAAACTAGACCCCAAATCTGTCAAATGCATATTCATAGGGTATTCGACCAATAAGAAAGGCTACAAGTGTTATTGTCCTTCAACTAAAAAGGTCTATAATTCTATGGATGTCACATTTTTTTAGCATCAATTATACTACCAAAGGTCGTCTGTCATTCAAGGGGAGAGTGGTAGTGAACAACAGCCCTGTGTTCCTTTACCAACTAACACGGGTCCCTCACCGACTGTCAAACCTAGTCCATCTCCTATTCAACCTCCTCAGTCTACACAACCCACTCAGGAACTTCGGGTTTATACAATACGAAATAGAACCGCTAAAAGAATAGAGAACCTAACACCGCTTCCAGCTGCTGTCCAAGAATCTAATCCGGCTCCAAAACCCTTTGAAACTCACTCAGGTACGGAATCTATAGACACTAGTGATTATGAGCTTACTCCGCCTGTGAAAGATGATTCTGATGTTCCTTGCACTTAACATCCTATTGCCCGATTTGTTTCATATGAGAGGTTATCTCCTCCCTATCATGCATTTGTTACTGTTATTGACAGAATAAAGGTTCTGAATTCTATTCAGGATGCTCTCTCACATCCGGAATGGAGAAAAGCTGTGAATGAAGAAGTTGTTGCACTAGAAAAGAGTGAAACGTGGATTGTGTCTGATTTGCCCCAGGATACGTGACCAGTAGGTTGCAGGTGGTTATTTACAATCAAATGTAAGGAAGACGGAAGCATTGATCGGTTAAAAGTTCGACCGGTTGCAAAAGGTTATACTCAGTCATGCGGAATTGACTAGCAAGAGACAGTCGCCCCAATAGCCAAACTGAACTCCATTAGAATCCTACTCTCCATTGCAGCAAACCGAGACTGACCCCTTATGCAACTTGATGTCAAAAATGCATTCCTTAATGGAGATCTTGAAGAGGATGTATACATGGATTTACCGCCTGGTCTTGAAGAGTCCTTCCCTAGTGGCAAAGTATGCAAGCTCCAGAAATCTCTGTATGGTCTCAAACAATCTCCCCGTGCTTGGTTTGCCCGATTCACCAATTCAGTAATCAAGTGTGGTTATACTCAAAGCCAG